GTTTGGTGCTTTTAACCGTTTGGAAATACATCGTATATGCGGAGCGTATTATTTCTGGTGCATTCGCTCTGTTACTGCCTCTAAAATTTAAATATACCCTTCATTTACGCGTTTTGAAAACCGCAAGACGTATTGAAGACATCCCTTATTTTACTCGTATATAAACTGAGTTTCTGCGTTTCTGCGTAGAAACTGCCTTCTAAAAGAAGTTATCGAAGGAAAGATAGAGGGGCGGATAGAAGTGACAAGAAGACGTAAGAAGATGCTGGATGACCTTGGGGACAGAAGAGGATACTGTCATTTGAAGGAGAAAGCTCTAGATCGCATTAAATAGAGGAATTGTTTTGGAAGAGACTGTGGACCTGTCGTCTTGACAGATTACTGATGATGATGATAAACTGAGTAAAGAAGGCTGTAATAAACTATTTCCTTGTAACAAGCACACGTTGAATTCATACGCAACTATTCACTGTTAGTTTATTTTTATTCAAATTGGCTGGAAGTTGAAGTTATAGACCTACACTGAATGAATAAAAAAGCCTCGCTTTTGTTACACGCACTAAAAGAAAATTATACTTATTTAATATATGCTTAAAATTCATATTATAATAGACAACGACATTAAGAGAACAAAACAAACCTGATTTCAGCGCAGTCTGAACTCGGTCAAGACGTTATTTTTCTTCTTTCCTGAGTTTTTTTCCGAACTATTTCAAACGTTTGATTTCTTGTAGATTTGCCAGTTAAGACAGAGAATAAAATACCTCGGCAGCATAATAAATTATATTAGTTAAACGTGCATTTCTACAGGTGGAAGTAAGCTTGGTTTAATTATCGTATAGAGACTTCGGTACTCTATGACTATATTCGGGGGGCCAGAATTTGTTACTGAGTATACAATTAAGTTTGTAAAAGCACTCATCTGGCATATTTGGTTTTATTATCTCGAAAACCTTAGGGAGCATATTAAAGTGTGTTGTTTATAAAATTTTATTTTTCTCTCAAAACTTCTGTTCTTAATGTTTTTTTTTTCGCTCTAATAAATACAGTGTAATTCATGAGTCACCCCGGAAACCCTGACAAGAATTTATAATCTCAGTACCCCTTCTAGCTACGTATTTGATCTACAGAGTGATTCCCTTAGGGAGCATAGTATTCAGGAGGGACTTATGAATTACTCTGTATATAGTGAGATAAGTGCGGAAACGCATGCTAGTCTTCACGTAAAGTGTGTTCATTATTAATAACCGCTTTAGCAAAAACTGGAATGTGTCGACAACTATTTATTAAAACTTCTTGGTACGAAATTTCATGAAAATTTGTCCAGCGGTTCTTGGGTTGTTTCATTCGTACGGGCAGACCGTCGAACGTATCAAATTTAATGAGCGTTCTGAAAGGTTGCGAAAGCACATGAAATGAAGCATCTGCTTTCAGTGTTCATTCAAATTTGTGTGTTAGCCAGTATCATCTTAATATGCAGTAGATATTCCGAACACAGTGAAATACATTTAACAAACATCCATCGTTGTATTAAATGCTGTGTCACTTTACATTTCCATTGAAACCAGCAACATCCAAATACTGTGAACAGCCCGCCTTTGGAAGATGTACCATATGTACTAATTTTTTGACAGTTTGAAGCTGAAAATATAAAGTCTCTTTAGACACTGAAATAGTAACGCAAATTGTTATTAGCATTGTGGTGAGTCACGACGGCCCCAAGTGTGGCAGACTTTTGGAAGTTCGTTCCATAAATATACACAGTTCTCTTTCTTAGGAAGAACTACTGTATTTCGGAACAGATTCACTGAGGAGATTTAAACGTCAGAACAAGACATGATTTTGCTAAATTATTTCTTATTATTACATACACACATTTAGTTTACTGAGGAGTGGAAAGGAAATTCATTCTATGCAATGTGGAGTCCCGATTTCTTTTCTTCAATTTCTTTTACGTACACTCAACGTGAGGAAACTTCGGTCAGTAAACACACCAAGGAACTTTTTTATTATCAAGTGAAATACTCCCGTTATAGCCATCAAATTTAATTTTTATTCACATCGGTCTGCGAAGTAAAGAGTAGTGTTTTCGAATAGAATAGAATTAATATATAATCAATTGCAAGATCGAAACTTTCTCATATGATTGTACCTGTTGGTTCTCTCTACCTACTTGCGGCCTCGTTCACTAATATCCGCTGTTGCCGTATCTCCCAAACGTCTCGGACTTTCTGTAGTCTGCAGTTCGTAGTTAGTTGCGGTTAGGTGTGCTTGAAGCTGTTGGAATGTGAAGTGTCTGGCTACAATGCCCTGCGTGACGTCACAAACGTATTCTGAAACTGTCGAGAGTTCTCATTCTTGTGAGTAGGTATGTTGGTGACGTTGGAAGTGTATTGTATTTTCGGGTTCTGTCTAGTGAAATATTTGTCAACATTGTGCGTATAGTCCAAGTTCCAAGCATAGACAGGTACAGTTTTGCGAATTTTTGTTAAATACAGGTGAGGCAATTGATGATATGTGCGGAGGAATTTTACTGTCTCAAGGCTATTTCAAAATTGAAAGCTGCTCCACGTAAAGTATAAGTCAGTATCGATAGTATACAAAAGTTCGTTTTTGTGTGTAAGCTAATTATTTTGGACACGTATTCGAAAGGTGCATAGGTATACCATATGTGCATACGTCACTAAGCCGTCAAGTACAAAACAGACATACGGGGGTGTAACCAATGTACACGCATACCAAAAATGGCATCTGAAACCGTGGTAATTTACAAGTACGTATAAGCTTGATATCCTTCGTAAACTAGAGATATTTTCAGTTGGCAGTTGATTTAATTTCACTAACGTTGTTTCTATTAGTTTGTGTGCTACTTACATGGTTACAATTATCGCATTTTAAACAGAAAGATACTTGGAAATCTATAATCGAAAACAGAGGTTCCAAAGCTATGCGCTGGCGGAGCAGGCCAAGGTGTTCCGCCACCGAAGTCGAGTAAGGGTCCTTTCCAAATTTCCCAGAAAAATGAAATTAATATATATAATTTTCTCAGTTCTACATATTTCTCGCATTTTATCATATAAATTAAATTTCCGTATTTATCTTTTGTCTCTGCTAGGTGTGATTTAATAATGAGTGTTCTGTTATTATTTACTGAAAGGAGCAGAGCGTGATATAACATGACATATTTTCTGCTACTAATATTCAGAGTTCGAATGACAGCATAAAAAAAAAATTTTTTTGTTGTGCTATGCAGAGCAACCTGACATTCAGGTGCACCACGAACTAAACGAGTTTGGGTGCCACTGGTATAAAACATATTGTGGGAACATGCCTATGTAATAGGGATACAAACGAGAGCAATGACGGCTATTATGAATAAAAGGTAAAGTTGTCCCTGTGCTTAACTAATTAAGCACTACACCATGAAGACATGGGGGGTGGATGTATATAGCCACGATTTCTTGACCTTGGCACTAGCTCGAAGTTAGTGGTCAGCTTCACGCCCCGGCCGCTTTACCCCCGGGGAAAGAGCCCCCGGTATCAATTGGATAGGAGATTGGGTGGACCCCAGAGCCTGTCTGAAGAATGTGGAGCACAGGAAATTCTTGATGTTACCAGGACTCGAACTGTAGCCAGTTACTATACTGACTATGCTATCCCAGCTCCTGGCTGTTGTGAATGAGCGACAAAAATTATCATGGAATATTTTATTATAGTTTCTTGGCACAGGGCAGGAGGGATTGATAAAATTGTAATAAACTATGTATATAGTTAGTCCCAACGGAATTTTGAACTGGGTACCTGCAAGTGTGGAGCAAGTGTTTGAACATTAACCCAAACCACATTGTTCAGCAGGAAATCAAAACAAATCGTGTGGTGATGTTAAATAACTAAATTCAATGGAAAGGCAAAAATACTGCATAAATCAGTTGATAACTTGCATATTTAATTTAACATTCATTATACATAAAATCCCCTCGTCGGTGTCTCCACCTTATCGTAGTGAGGGGATTTGAGTATGCCAAGGACCCTGAGAGCTATACCAGTGGTAGTGTAGCTACTGGCAGGGCCTCCCTTGCTAGACAGGTCAAAGGGTAGGCACCAGACAAAGAGAGACACCAAAAACCAAAAACTGATGCCGGAAGCAGCGTCAGCAGCAGCATCTGTCGTATGACAGATTACTGATGAAATGAATGAAATACATAAAATCTGAGACAGTTGGTCATCTCCTCCCTCATCTCAAAAAGACATTACTGGAATGCTATAACCGTCCCAGAAATTCTGGTTGAAATATATTTTAATTTTTGCTACTATATAGGTTGAAAATGGAGGTGACAGGCTATGAAATTTTCCATCATATGTAAAGTAAAGTAAAGATAAAATCATCTCTGAGCCAATTAATTAAACACCACGCCATGAAGATGTGTATGGGAGTGGAGGTATATCTCCACTAATCATAAGCTTTGCATTATATGGAGGTGAGTGATCAGCTTCATGGCCTGGCTGCTTTATCACTGGCAAAACAGCTTCTGGTACCCACTGTCAAGGAGGCTGGGTGGGCCCCAGAGCTATTCTGGATATTATGGAGAAGAAAAAAATCTCTTACTCCTGCTGGATATCAAAGCTTGATTCCTTTGTCATTCAGCCCATAGCCTAGTCACTATACCAACTGAGTGTCTTTTTTAAATTGACCTCTGGTAATCAGATGTTGGTCCTATGAATTATGACTGTTTTATTGTTTATGATTGTGATTATTTCCTGAAATTTCTAAGCATGTAGAAGAATTAAGCACTGAAATATATCCATGAAGTGATAAAATCTTCTAAGGTGATCAACAACATCAATCCATAGCAGAAGCCTAATTTTTTAAGATCTCTGTCTCTGTGATCAGGAAGTGATGACATCACTTTCAGTCACTGTGAAAGTGTCAAGTCTTGTATGGTATCCAATAAATTCTTCTTAACTTGGAGAGTATGTGAACTATATATTATTCATTGCAGGTAGCCCGTGGCAGGTGGGAGTGATGACGGGCCCAAAGATGGCAGTTTTGGGTGAAGCAGTTCGCTTAGTGGGAGCTGGAACCACTGCAGTGTTTGAGTTCAGTGCCCTTGGATTCAGCCGTGATGACATTGATATTCAGATAATAAGTATGACAATTTAATGATTTCTTACACTGTTTTTTATTAGTAATTGACTTTTAAGTTCATTTTTTATCTTCTTACCTAAAAGTGGCAACTTTAGAATGTTCTCTTAATAAGTAATTGCCTATTTAACCATTTTCATAAGATAAATCCCACTTCTGGTGAAGCATTATCCAGCATATAGATTTAAGATAAATTGTGTGATTTACCAAGTACAAAGAGGATGTATATTTGGTAATTGTGCCATGGTACAGAGCTTCCTTTAGGCATGCTCACTGCATGGTTTGCCATATTTCCTACTTGGTCAACCATGGTGATAATATCATAGGATGAAGGTTATTGGTCCTCTCGCAGTACAAATTTCTCATAATTAATGCTGAATAAAATGCATGACCCATAATCATCCTTACACTCAGGGCTCAATGAATATCAACTTTTACATCATACTGTGGAATTTTAAATATAAAATGTAGATTTCCAGTGCTTGAGGATCTCTTATTTTGTGTCCATAAAAAGGTGAAGTTCTTCCTGTAACAGGCCATGAAGGCCCATAGGGCTGTGAGACGTCAAGGCTCCCACATTTTCTCTACTGTTTAAGCCATCACTTATTACCTGGTTACCCTGGAATATAAACTGATCTTATGCGTCCTATATGAAAAATGTTGCTTTGTGTGGTTACTTTCTAGGAAGAATGTGACTTACTGCTGCCAATGTATTCCTGTATAATTGGAACTGGAATGTTATATTGAGTTTTAAATTTTAGGTCCATCTAAACGGCCAGTAACAGCCCGTCTGGTGGAAGAGAAAGGTGGAGAATTTCGAGTGGAATTTACACCAACAGAAGTTGGTAGCCACTTAGTGGAGGTGTCAGTTGCTGGCCAGAAGCTTCCAGCTGGTCCGTTGGTAGCAAAAGTATACAACAGTGCTCTCATTCGAGTAACAGACGTTGGAAGCGGTGTGGTGGGGCAGCCGTGTCAGTTTAGAGGTAACAGAACATAGCCAAGGACAGATTTATGATATATGCAAGGATAATGCTCTCTTAAATATTTTTACTTCTTAGAGTGTTACAATTTTCCTGTTCTGGGCATTTTCATAGGTAGCTGGTTTTATAAATACACGTTTGTATATATTAGATATCCTGTTAGTGCTTATAACCATGCAGTTTCTGTTCATGAAACAGGAATTTCAAGGTTATGGAAAGTAATAGACCAGAGACCAGCTATAGTTGTCCTTCATTATTATTCTTCAGGAATATCATTCTTTTTGTGGCAAAGTCAGGTGAACTCTTATTAAGAAGGCATGAAATTAGTTCATTAATGTATTGTAAATGTTTTATAATTTGAAATAAATCTTCACATAGCTACAAAATCTTGAAAAGTAAGGTGCACAGGTTTCTTGGAAATTTCAACTATTCATGTATATTTTGCATGGGTAGTTAGTGGGTCTATTATTTATACTTGCATGTGTTGCCAATATGGAAATTCCTGTTCGGTAGATAATCAAGAAGATAGCTTCTCATTAACAATAAATTTTTTTGTGTGATCATTTTGGAGTTAACATTATATTTTTTATAAAGTTTTGTTGCAAAACTGAACTTAGTACATATACATAATGAGTGAAAGGGCTGAAGGGTGTACATTGGAGTCCTTAACTCTGTGAAGAGTTCAAATATTGAGTATTAACTAGTGTGACAAATTAAAGAGGCCATAAAATAACAGCAAAATCTGCCTTGGTATTTGGATCTAAAATGAAGTTTTTGAAGAAGGACATTGGAGACACAACAGATAAGATAGCTCAGATCTGTTGCTGACACAATGTTAAGTCACAATCCAAGAATACAAGCATCCTGTTTGACATCAATTCTGACAGAAAGGGATGGAACTGTAAATACACTGCCTACTTTTGACATACAGAATGGAAAATTTTCTCTCTAAAGCAAATAGCTGAACTGAATATTTTTTTTTTTTTACACATACTATATAATTATGTTATGCACAACTTGTGCAAGTTCAGTTCAAACCTACAGACACATTCATGTTTTACTACCATTTCCTTTAAATATTTTTTTTGCCCAAAGCAAGTGTATGTGTTTTTTCATTGACCAATGGCCTAGTTGTTTTGTCATATCTTATTTTGAGATAATATATTAATTTCCTTCCAGTTGATGCAAGTCAGGCAGGGGAGGGGCAGCTCGAGATCTCAATCAATGAAGGAGAGGTGCCAAATCATGTTCAGGTTGTAGGAGGTGGCAGATGTTTAGTCAGCTTTACCCCAGAACAGACTAAACCCCATCTCATTGATATAAAGTTCAATGGAGAAACTGTTACAGGTTAGTTATTTCAGTTTTACGACAAAGGTTACCTCAACTGTTATTTACTAAATATTTACTCTTATCACTTGCCTGTTCTCCAGCACAAAACCTGTAAAACAGCATGTGCATATTGAGTTATATTTAGCCTGCACAATTTAAAGTGAATGAATGAATGAAGAAATGTGAACATCTGGCAGATATTTATATGGGCTGAACTTGGTTCATATTTGAATTTTGAAATAAAAATTCCATCATTTCTGTCTCTCTGTCTGTAAATGATGAAAGTTCAATATCACTAAATGGTAGATTTGAGGCTTTCACGGCGGTGACTATGCTTTTACCGGTTCTCACGGTCTCTTCGCTTGCAGATTTCTTATATTTTTTCTTCTACCCTGAAGATGGAGGCGATACGTTCCTCCGAAACGTCGGTTAACACCACATATACACGGTGCCAAATCCCAGAAAACTGCTTTCGTCATCACTAAATGGGTTTTCTTGAAATGTTATGCCTGAAGTACTTTTCAAATAAACAGAAAATGATAACTCTGAAACAACTTTGTTGGTACTTACACATGTTTTGAAATTTAATATTAAAACATTTTAATAATATTGTAACGTGGATAGACAGAGCATTGCTAGGTAACTAACTGCCGTTACATAGCCTCTGCACCAACCACATAGAAAACAGCCTCTATTATTGCAGAGGAGTGTTTACCACGATGTTGCACAGCACTGGTCATGGTGCTGACTGCATAGAAAATGCCGTACTTCTGTTGTTGCCTTGTGTGCATTCAGTCACNACACCGCCATGAAAGCCTCAAATCTTACACAGTCACGAGATGTTTAATGGCCAGTTACCTAGCAATGCTGTGACCATCCACATTAATTATCCTGAATGAAAATTTGCAATTTTTAACCATTGTAACTTCCCAAAATTTATGTAATTACATTTAAGATTTTATGATTTTTTAAATATGTGGATATCAGATGATGCGTTATTTTAAACTAAAATAATTAAACCTCTTATTGTTGCATGAATACAGTAAGTTGAATATTTTTACAGATACAGCAGACACAATTTACAATTTATGTTGAGTAGTGCATTTTTTCTTTTTCAGGTTGTCCATTTGTGTGTTCTGTTTCTGACACAAGTCGAGTGTCTCTGACATTGAGGAACCTTGAGCTAATCCCTGTGAATGAAATAGCTCGCTTCCACATGGGAGTTGATGGAAGTGGTAGTGCTGAACTAGCAGTTTCTGTTAGGGGTAAAGTTTCCATAACTACCCTTATGTATTATCAGGCTTTAAAATTGATAGTTCTATAAAGGAAATACTTAGGGAATGTGCTCATATTTTAGATAGTATGAAAATTTGAATATGCTTTTATAACATTTTGTGTAGATTGTAATTCATGTTTTATGTCATGCATACGTTGATGTACAGTAAATTTCAGGAATTATCCAGAAGTTCTGTTTGGCTATTGAAGGACTTGTTTGTATATAATAGAATAATGCACAAGCTCATAATTTCTATTGTACTTCAAAGGTAACTGTTAAGTATTACATAATCTGGTGTAGCACTGGGCACAACTTGGAGAAAACCTGATGTGTGTATGTGGTTCACTAATACTGATGCAGTACAATGAGATTATTTGTGGGCTGAGCTAAAGTACAGCTTTTCTGCTATGGATGGTAACTGCATCATTTTTGACCTATGGTGATGAGTCAATGAAAGTGATGAGAGAACGTGGGTATTCTATTATGGTGTTAACATGTGGCTTGTGCTAGATTTCCTTTGTGTGGAACTGGGTAAGTTTGCACTAGAGTATTGGGTGTTTATACATGTTATATATGTTTAAGCACATTAAGAGAAATAGAGGAAATTGAGAAGAAATTTTCTTGCAGTTTCACATGTAAGTTCTGTTCAGAACCTTGTAAATACACTAAAACATCTGGTGTATGAAACATTATATTTGTGCTTCATATTGATGCTGCTTCAGTTGATACACATTATATGCACCATTGTTATCAGGATACTAACATATTGGCTAATATTTACAATATAAGTAGTTTCACTAGAATGAACGTATTGTAGCCTGATGATCAGCAAGGTAAAATAATGTGGCTGTGGTAAAAAAGGTAAAAGTTGTCCCTGTGCTTAATTAAGCACCATGCCATGAGGACGTATGGGGGAGGGGATGTATAGATCCACATTTTCTTGAGCTCAGCACTAGCTGGAGGAGAGTGGTCAGCTTCACGCCCCTGCCGCTTTACCCCAGGGAAAGAGTCCCCGGTACCCATTGGATAGGAGGCTGGGTGGGCCCCAGAGCCGGTCTGTACAACGTGGAGAAGAGATAATTTTTGAACCTACCAGGACTTCAACTCTGACCCCTGGGTCACCCAGCCCATAGCCAGTCACTATACTGACTACGCTATCCCAGCTCCTATGTAGCTGTGATACTGTATATAATTAACAGCAGCAGTATGCAAGATTGTTTTGGTGGTACATATATGTGTATTAGCAATTTGTGTTAACAGATAGTAAACAGAGCTGGCCAAAAATGGAGCTTGGTTTGAACATTTGACTTGTAAGTCTCTTAAGCACCTTGTGCTAGAAATAGGAATATTAAGGGGGATCACAAACGTCAGAACAATATTACTGCAGCCTCATAACATAGTAGCTAGGCTCTGTGTCTATAACTGGTGTCTTCAGTGAGTTCACGGGAGTAATCTTGATCCCAAGTTTAGACTTATTGTAGCATGTTGAGCCATTTCTAGGCAGTGGCTTGGCAAACAGGTTTCTGCAGCAACGGATATGGAGAGGTACTGTCCTAAATGGTGTTTTTTACTCAGCCCATGCAAAGATGTTATAAGGAGGACAACTAAAGCAAGAAGAGTTCAGTTGGAAGGGTGCTGCCATTCAGAGAGGACTTGAGCATGGCAGTAGAGGAACAGCCATTGTTAGAAGCCATTACCAGGAAACGTCTAGTGAAGACACTGCAGACTGGAAAAGACTTAATGTGGCTGTAGCATGATTTTGAAGTGTGGAAATAGCGATAGTGTTATAGTTATTTGTAGTCATGACCTGTAAGTGGCCAATAAACCCAATCTCCAATCCAAAACCACTATCTGTAGTCACACCCATGAAATGTGACAGTAAGTTAGGTGGATACTGTAGTCATTTTTCAGGCAGTACAGATGAAGAATTCTTATGGACATTTCCAATAGGATTCTGCAGCTGCACATATTTGCTAAATATTCCATACAAATTTTGAACAGTGTTTGGTGAAAAAGTTGTAAGTCATGGTTTATGGGCATCTCATTCTCCTGATATTCCTCAGTGTGATTTCTTTTTGTTGATATATTTAAACAATGAAATCTATCAAAGTAGTCCACATATGAAAGAAGAACTCAGAGAAAATATACAGCTTGTAGCGTTCTGTATGTCCAGAGAAAAATTATGCTGTGAGCCAGAATCTGTTTAAAATTGTGAAGATTATATCTGAGCCAAAGGGAAAAATTTTCATCATCTCATGCAATACAGATGCTTAAACTGCAGTGCATAAAGTTATTGCGTTTTCACTGTGACTGCAGATGATGGCAGGAAATGTGGCAGTGTTGTACATAGAGGAAAAGCTGTGCTTTAGCTGAGACAGCAGATAATCTCCATTATGGTGATTGTGTAATTGTTTGGACATTTTTTACGTCTGTGCTGGAATGCTTTATGGTTAAGACACATAATCTTCTTTCCTGTCTTTTAATTAGAATCGACATTACCAGTAAACAATTTATATTTAATATTTCATTTACTACTAGTGACAAGTCCCATTCCTTACCTGGAGTTTTCTAAAAATAAACTGTTGAAGTAATGAAACTGTTTATCTACGGTGGCATTCTTAAATATATATTCCTGGAGAAATGGAGGTATGTTTCCACTATTCTTAACCATGGCACTAAATGAAGGTAAGTGGTCAGTTTCGCACACCTGCCCCTTTGCTCTTGGTGGTAGATCCCCTGTATCCATTGCATGGGATGCTAAGTAGCTGGTCTGGATGTTGCTGGAAATCAAACCCCTATTCCTTGGTCATCCAACCCATAGCCTAGTCACAATACAGACTGAGTTAACCTGGATTTTAAGGTATCTCGCTGTTCGTGTATCATAAAATAACATGATAATATGAAGATGTATATCTAAATGCAGAACAGGTCCTCAAGAGTATCATAAAATGATGTTAAAAACATACTGAGTTATATTATTTAATCCCCATCAGGTCCAACCACAGAACTTCCAGTTAAGGTGACAGGCAACATTCACAGTGGGTTCACAGCTGAGTTCACACCACGAGATGTTGGAGCACACTCCATTACTGTTGAGTACAATGGTCATCCCGTCAGTGGCACACCATTTGTAGCTAAAGCGTATGATGCAAAGAGAGTGTTTGTAGGGCCTCTGCCAAAGGGATCAGTTGGAAAAACACTGCAATTTATGGGTGAGATTTACTGTTCATGTTCTGTAATGTAATTATATAGAACTGTAAGGATCTGTTTAAAAATCTTAAAAGAGAGTTACATTTTGTTATACATTTAAAGAGGAGGCAGTTGTAATACACAGATTATTTTATAGGTGAATTTACTGGCATTAAATTATGCTGTAGCATATTGTACAGAAATAAGTTTGATTTTTGTTTCAGTTGATGCAAGCCAGGCTGGTGAAGGCAATTTAGAAATTACTATTAGTGCTCGAGGGCATAATATACCTACACAAGTACATCCTCAAGGAAATGCTCGGTTTGCTGTTAGTTTTGTGCCTATTGAATCTACTGATCATGTTATTAGCATAAACTTCAACAAAGAAAGTGTACCAGGTAAGGAAGGTTTCGTAAAGAAGCTGAATGCCATTAACAGAAAACACCAATAGGCATAAAACAATGGTTTGTTGACGATTCCATCTAACAAAAGTAATTTGTATAATATCATATCAGTTATCCATTCACACATAATATTCAAAAACAATCTTTGGTCACTCCATGAAGCTGGGTTCTTCTTGAGAAACTGACAGTCACTCGGCTGATCAAGAAGTTCCTTGACTTTTTGGGAAATGGAATTTTTACAAGAGTCCACCATTTGGATCTTATCCCCTGCCAGTTTAATTCAGCCTTCAACCTCACATTTTCTGAAACCTGTTTTATTATAATCCTCCCATATATATTTAAGTTGCCAAGTGGTCTCTTCCTTGAAAGTTTGTTAACCAAAATTTTGAATGAATTTCTTATCTCCCATATTCATAGTGCATCTCATCAATATATGCTCAAATTAACAACTTGTCCATTGTCCAATTCATTAATTATTGCTGTCTCATTTTTGGCAAATCAGATGTTCTGTGTGTAATGATACTATACTAATAGTATATGCTATATACTATACTATACTATACTATACTAAATGTTCAATAGAAATGATACATATTCATAAAATTAAAAAGGTTTTTAAATGTCATACCAAAAGTTGATGTTTAATCTGCATTTTTTAGTCTTAGGCATATTTCTGTGGTTATTCCAATTGACACAGCATGTCACATGAGAACCTTTGCCTTTAACTCATGAAATTATTCTTTAAATAGATTAACGGTATATTCTCTGGGAGCTCTGTATATGTTTTTGATCACTGAGAAGGATTCTGTTCCCAGGTACTACATGAACCTGCTGATAACAAAAAAGAAAGTACAGGGATAAAGACAGAGTGAATGGAAATAATGTAAATGTTCATGAAATCTATAGCATTTCTATTAATATTATTTTGAAAGTGATTAGCAAGTCACTGAACTTCAAAACTGTCAGGTGAACATTCATTAGCATTGGCAATGAAATACGTGTAATTATACATGTATATGAGTGTGAATGTAGGCTCCAGGGTTAAAATTAGAATAATATTAGTTATGATATTTGTATTAGTAGTAATAATAGTAGTTTTGTTTTCAGTGAAATTTTGTACATAATTTTCATATGCAGTGTTCATTCGGAGGGTTCCAGCAATTAATCATAATAGCAACTTGCTCTTATAATTTTATATTTCCTCTTATTTGCTGAGGAAGTTCACTCAAATGGTAAAACTTCTGACTTATATTAGGAAGGTGTCCACTTAAAATCTCAGCTGGAACATCAACTCTCCAGACACAGCTTTTCTTGGCACATCAGTTCCAGACAAATATCAGGATGGTATCTAAAATTAGAGCATGACAGCTTCCTTGCACACCTTTCCCAATTCTCTATTCACCAATGATTTTATCATGTGATGCTATAGTGTCTGAGCTCCCATAAATAAATAAATAAACAAAATACTCTTTTGGGAGGGATAATTGAATACAGAAAAGAAATGGAGAAGAGATAAATGATAGGCTTCTGCAGAATATTGAACAGTTTCCCAACCACTTAAAAGTTTAAAAATCCTTGCATCAGGTGAATGTAGTATGAAATGTGAAAGTGAAATATCTCAGTGATATCTAAAATTTATATTGCAGGCTCTCCCTTCCTGGCACGTGTCCAAGGGGATTCTCCACATCAGATCTTAGTTAGTGGACCATCATTGTCATCAGCAGCAGTTGGCAAAACATCCTTTTTCACTGTCAGTAATGTGGCAGGAAGTGTTGAAGACATAGAAGTCAATGTGGAGGGTAAGTTAAGATTATTATTTCCATTTAACTAGCTCTGATGACCATTTTTCCATCTGATACACATCTGTAGTTACTCTCTTTCATTGGGCCGCACCATAGCTCAAGAAGTTAGTTGCTGGCTTCCCATCACGGTGGCCTGGGTTCGATCCCAGGTCTCGTCAAGTGGGATTTGTGGTGGACAAAGTGGCACTGAGGCAGGTTTTCTCTGAGTACTTCGGTTTCCCCTGCCAATCTTCATTCCACCAATTGCTCCACAATCACCCTCACTTATCATCTGGGGCTGGTACAATAGGCCAGAAGTGGCCACAGTGCAAGGGACTTAGTCTCACCCCACTAGCAGTAAAAAAATACTCTCTTTCATTGAGATTTCCCAGGCTTTTTTAAATCTTGTAGTTGTGTATGTTATCTGTTTTCACTTCAAGAAATTTTCAAATGCTGAATTTAATCAAGTGTGTTGTTGACAAATACCTAAAAGAAACAGCAATACCTTCTTGTAGTGAAATTGAGAGAAGTGAAATTTGAGGACTGTGTTATACAGACATTCTTAATATGGAAGCTATAATGGAAGCAGATGTGATGTTTTATAGCTTTTCTTTTTAATTATAGTGTTTCTGAGTAGAGTAAAATATCAGTAAAACAGACCATGTGATAATTAACTATTCACTTTTATGACATGTTTCACTTTCCTTCTTCAGTTTGTTTCTTAATGTTATGACAATTAAGAGCTGTTAACATTCATTTGAAACATTTTTTCAGTGTGGTTTATTTTTATTGAAATATGATGAAAAAAATCACGTGTTTATGCAGTTTAATGTAACAGTGGTTGCTTAGCTCTGTCAGCATTATATTTGTGCCAGTTGTAATAGAATGCCAATTTTAATGAGTTCCAAATTTGCAGATAGCATATTTGGGAAAAATTTTAATTTAGAGTACAGTCACTTCAAAGTTCAGCTGGCAATTGTTTTCTTGAAAGTGGATGCATAAATCAAACAGATGGATGCATAAATCAAACAGAATTTTCACACAGAAAATAAAGGAAATGGTAGGAGCTAAGGGAAACACTGCCTCAGTGCTCATTTGAACATCTTTTTCATTTTCTGTTTTTTATTTTGTACTTACAGTATTATGTTTATTTATTACTGAGAATGATAAAGACATATTAAAATAATTTTCAAATGAAAAATTTTGCAATCACTAAGTTGAATGCTACCTAGATGGCTTGCTGGTGGTGATGGTGGTACTGGGGAAGAGGGTCATCTGGGTCAGATGACCCAGTAGACGATGATGGTGAGGAAGCAAGAGGTGCAGATGGCTCCTCTCTTATGGGCAGATGCTTGGCTTTTAAGATATGTGAGATATAGAGTGGAGGTTCATGTGGTTTAATGATTCTGTCTATATTTCAAACCATATAATTCTAAAAAGAGGTCTGTATACATTAGAAAAGAATACAGCTGTGTAATTCCAGAAATATGTAAATAAAATCTGTGTAAATTAGAACTGGCTGTATATAGTTGGAGTATACAGTTGAGTTAATTATGACTTGAGTTTGGTCTTTATACCTGTCACAAATTTTAAATTCTGTTTTGTCAGTTCTTCAGATTATTGCAATTATCATAATTCTGATTCCATACATTTGGATGTAGCTTGATAACAAAAAATTCAGACTGTAGCAGTGTGAAAATACATCACTTTAAGGGGCCTTCACAGTACGCATCCATGTTATGCGTCTTTAGTGTGAAAGAAAAGCACACAGTTTGGGTAGTCTGTATTAGTAGCCCACATAATGAATATGTTTAATGTGGCTTGTGAATTCCAAGAGTAAAAGAAATAATATTTGTAATTCATCTAAAACTTTTAAATTAATTGATTTTTTAATTGGCCATATGTGGCATATTTTCTGATTTGTTACATAAGCAATTTTGAAGGGAAGCAGCATGATTTTTTCTTTATTATGTCAACTTTCCTCACATGTTTTTCTCAGACAGTTATATTACCCATAACATAGGTTTTATTAATTTTTTACAGGCTCTTCCAATAGAAATAGTCTCAGTTCTCTAAAAATGTATTATGTAATACTGTCTTGCTAAAAGATTAGGCCTGAAAGTAGTGATTATATATTTTCCAAGAAATAAATTTGACACTTTTTCTCTTACTGGTCAGTTCTTGTTTGACCATTTGTTGAATATAACAAACTGCATAGTGTTCCCAATTCAGTAATAAACAGTGATTACAAGATTTAAGGTTTCTGTTTTAGTGAAGATTCATATTGTTGTCTTCTGGTTTATGACACCACATAGTCTGATAGATAGGTACCACTGAAGCCTCCATCTTCCTAATGGGGGTACCAACTTACCAGACTACACAGTGTCATAACCCTGAAGATCATATATCAAGAAAAGTGTCTTGACTCTCCATGCAGGCTCAGTTGTCACCTTTAGTTGCTTTTTAAGATATTGTAATACATATTGTTATCTGGAGCAATTGTCTTATAGTCCACATCAATGTAGGCTCTTGAGGTCATTTCCACTTGTTATTTCACCATAAAGCCACTGCTTAGTTATTGAACTTTCCTTTTTTGTTTATTTACACTCAACTGAACTGCCATCTGACTTATTACTCTATCTAACTCACTCACTGAATCATTACCAGAGTCTCCTGACCAACTAATGACTCACAGCGTCAGCTGTTTCACACCTTCCTGTGCTGCGCTGCCTGAACTCAACTAAGACACCTGTCGGGGGGGTTTTAAGTTCTTGTTACATGCATGCCAGACTTGGAGAATATATTTGTTCCTGTGTGAGTGACTGTGATCTTTGGTGCTCTCTGGAACAGCCCAGAATGGTGTGTGTGTTTCTTTTTCTTTTTGACTGAATGAGAGGTGTGTGTAGGCCAGGCATCACCTCGCCCCCCTGCTCCTTCTTAGCTCCCACAACAATAGTCTCTCATTTATGAAATTTATGGCATCAGTTCTACAATGCTCATGCAAAGTGACAATTCTTGTGAACTGTTTTAACTTCTTAGTTTTTGGGTTATGATGGTAGTGACTATGAAGAATAACAATGGAGGCCACACATTTCTCGAAACTTTGGTAAACTTCTACCAGGCTATTCAGCATCACATCCCAAATGTTTCCATTTCTCATTGTTTTAACTTGTTTGTGGGCTTTAGAATTATAATATTTTAGAAGAAATAGTTTATTCCTTAATTGTATACATGTCTCATTGTCTCTAAGTAAAGTTGACACATTATTCATTGCATAGTATTTTATTAAATAGTATGGTTTTTGTCAGTTGTTTGTGAATGTATTATTTTTATCTCATACATCTAATGGTGAGTTTAAGAGGATGATGTTGTAAGGAAGAAATCTTGCAGATTTCATAGCAATGTGTATGTTTGTGTGTTTTTATAGATAAAGATTTCATCCTTCATTTTCTGGTATTTCTATCTTTGGGCCTAAAAAATGAAAAAGGAAAGAACACTGCTGTTTTTCTTCTTTTTTCTATCTTGCATCTACCTCTTATAAAGAGCACATGCATGATTGAGGAGTAGTTACATCAGTGTTAATGTTTTAATTTTATCTTGTGTTTTTATAGTTAACTACAATTTAGCTGAATGTCTTTCTTCATCACGGATTCTTTTTTAAATTATTTTATTGCACAATGCATACATCATTTTAAATACATCATACCTTGACATTTTAAATGTTAAAATGGAATTGTGGAACTTATGTAGCTCATTAAAAGCACCACTGTACAGTCCATAACACTGAATATGATTGTAATGTAAAGACACAGAACTTTAATACATTCATTTACATTTTTCTGTAATTATTTCACACCTGCTGTTATAATGTACTGATTTTCTAAAAATCTAGTTATGCATCAGAAAATGTAAATCATATCTTTAGACAATTTACATTTCATCAGATAAACCAGTTTCATTCTCCTATTTCAAGTTGCAGGTAAAGTCTGCAGCCCAGCTTAAATATTTTATTATTAATTGAAAGGAAAGCTCAAGGTATGATGTGTTTTAAATGAATATAGCCTAAGAAGGTTTGTGTTCTCTTGTTGCAGGTTCGACTCCTTACCGACTTAGACATTACTGAAAATACTGACTTTATGAATTTTATGTTTACCATTTACACTTACAGAAACTTCTAAACAGACTGACAGAAAGTTTCCTGTACTTGTGTACTTGATACACGATAGCATGAAAGCTGAAATGATGAATATGTGTATGAAATAATTCTGTTGTAGGCGCAACAGACTAATTAATATACTAAACTGTGCTATTCTTAATGGCGAGTCATTGTATTATTTTTAACAGAAGCTTGGTTTTGGTTGCTTATTAACATTTAACGTAAAGAGCATTCCAGACTGTCTTTTTAATTTTATACAGATATTAGTAAATAGAATTATATTAACAGGATGTAATATATTAATTATCTGGAATGCTTCATGCTCATTTGCAAGACCAGCTTTGATTTGTTTAGAACACAGGCCTGTAAATTTATTTAAACTAATGTTGGAGGTTGGAAAGTATGCAGCACTGTTATGGCAGGACTCTGTAGTACACAGACAGTTGTGTAGAACAGTTATTAGCAATGATGACACTAAATATGACAGAACTATTTAAACAGCTTTGGGTTTTGGGTGAAGCAGCTATTGCATTGCACACCTCTTCCATCAAGCTTCAAATCTTACACCTCCATCATTCTTCAGGGTTCTGTTTGGTGTAAGTTCTCTATTTTCTTACTTAATATCTATACTGAAAATGCACTATTCTTTTGCTGCTTTTTCATTATTATTATTTTTCCAATTATAGGTATAATTTAACTGTTGTCTTGAGAGTTGCTTTATTCATTCCATTATTCATTGACACAACAGTTTTTTTTTTCTAATATATGTTGGCACAATTTTTACATCATTGGTTTGAGAATACTATATAAACTTCAGCAGTAACTTACAGCTTTTGTGAGGTCAGTAACTGTAATGTAATTATAAATCCTTTATACTGACCTCTACTAATCATAGGGAATTAATTGGGCACATATATTGACTATTTCTTGATTATTAAATGTTTCCTTTGTTTTCTTCATGCATTTGTAAGCTTGATATGTTCTCCCAGTTGTGTTGAACTGATTGTAACTGAATTATGCTTATTGCACATTTTAATTTTCATTTTAACTTGTGTTTTAATTTACTTATTAGTATTTGCTTATATCTGTCATAGCTGTTCCTACTGTTTCATAAAGTAGCATATTCTGTAGTGATTTTGTAATTTCACATTCATGAAGGAGCTTTAATTTGGTGATAGTCTGTATTACTTCATTTCTGATCTCTGATAACATCATTTCATATAAATGACATGCCCATAGCATCATGCTTATATCCTATCGGTTACGTTGAATTGGATATCAAATGGTTGCTATAAGTATTTTTTTACCAGACATGATTTGTTGTATAAAATACAATTCTGAATAAATAATTATCCTTTTATGTATTGAGCACTTTTACTTGAACTTCTTCTTAAGAGGAGCAAGTATGGATCAAAAATATGTGCCATTTGTAATACAACTGTTAGCTTCAAATCAGAGAAAATTGCATTGTACATAAGTCATATTTGTTTATGCAGCAGTTTATTTGCCAGGTTGACCTGATATTGACTTTATGTTGTTATTTGGTACTGGTGACATTAAATTTGAAATGGGAGTAAATGTGTTCCAAATTTGAAAAAATATTTTTGCATAGTAGTAGTGTGTCCTTTATAATCTTTGTGTGTCTGTTATAAATCCAACTGTATGCGTCTATTGTAAGTGGGCATTTCTGATTGGGTTACATGTCTGGTTAGAGACAAGAAATTTCTCGTACTTGTGGGAATTGTAGTATCTTTTTATATTGTTATTTCACTGGTAAGATAGATCCCAGTCACAGTACTTGCATTATTTATTATACTTCATAAAAAAATTCTGTAATCCTGATATTAATTAAGCTGTGGTTTGAAGAATTATACTAATCAGGAACAGCCTAGGAAGGGGTAATATTTGCAGCATTGAAATACTGTACATTAACATTAAAGAATGAGAATTTTACATGTCCTCAAATATCTGATACTATGATGCTATGATTATGTCCTCTTGGTGTTGATAAGACAGTCTCCTTAGAGACGGAATGCAGGATATGTAAGCTAAATTGATTTTGACCCAGTCTTATGGAGAACTGTCTAAATTACCATCAATATACTAATGGACTGAAATAGTTTTATAGACTTTCATGCTTGTATGTAGTTGAATGATAATCATTGACTCAAAAATACCTAACTTCAGATTTATATTGGCAATAATTTGAATAATATATTCTTTGCAGAAAATTATTTCTGTGAATTAGGCTGTCTTATCATTTAATACTTTGTGGTCTAATGGAATTAAATTATTTTAAACTTCTGTTGTTAAGATTTTGAAGTATACTATGTACAGGCATAGCTCTATAGAATGGATTTTTATATTTTTAGGTGAAGTTAGCATGTTTATTTAATTTACTGACCAATGCATTTTGAGAAGTATGTATTCAAAGGAAACTGAAAATTAGACAGTATGTTCAAGAGATATAGGTATAATTCAGAATTAATCCCTTTCCATGCATTAAATAAGTGCCCTTTATAAACAGTGTTAGTACATTAAGGATAATATGATATCTTTGATTTTACTATATTCTGTTTTGCTCATTGAGGATAACAATTATATAATTTTGTTTATATTTGGAAACAGACTTCTCAAAACAAGTAGCTACATAATGGTGCTAACAAAGAGCAGTGTACATGCAGGTGCCAGCTTCTACTAAATAATTATGTCTTTTATGTATTTTTTTCTCTATGCCTTTAATGCAGTTTGCTGCATAAAGTGAACATGCAGCTTTCTTTCATTTGAGCTGAAAGTAAAAACATGCTTGGTTGCAATGACAACATGAACTACTTCTGTAAAAACTGAGTGGTTTCCAGTAGTTATGTAGATGTATGAGATGAAACTGTAAATGAAGAATTATTGAAATTACAAACGTAAGTGAAAGAAGTAGAGCTAATTGTTATATCGTATATGTTCCTTGCCCAAGGTGCATAAAATGAATATGTGATGGAGGTGTCATTCATGTTTCATCTCCAGAATTAATATATCTTATGACAATTGACAAAAAATTGTGAGTGCAATTTCATTTTGATTCATATTGGTTGTATATAACCCTACCTTTGTACGAAGCCCACGCAGAAGTTTTGAGTCTCTCAAAAGTAGCTCATCATACAAAAATTTGTACATTACATGAAATACACATCTCAGTAGATCATTTCATTTGAAATATCTTTGATGTAGGGCATATTTAACAGAATGGAAGGAAAAATTATTTATGGCTGTATTGTAAAAAACTTGGAAACAACATATTTGTATCCAGAGCCTGATAGAACAAGTTATTGGCATTAATTTGTTTTATGGTTTGAGAAAATTTAAATATGGAAGGGCGCATATGATAACAATCTGATACATAATTGGAAGAAAACAAATATGAACTGACACTGATCACTGAAGAATGTTCTATTGAGAGGTAATTTGAATCAGAATATTCTCATGTATGCTGTTAACTGAAGATTTAAATTTAAGTACTAGGTCACGTGATTGACAATAGGTTATAACAAATATATGGTAATGTGATTTAATTTCATTCAGAGGTGTCTACTGTACATCGTTTAAGTCAGATTACACAATTAATGATATGAAGGACAAAGAGGTGTTAATTGTCCCTACTGAAGGCCAATGATATATATAAATTGCAAGGATCAAATTTGAAAAATAGTAGTCTCCAGTTTGGAATACACCTTTCATCTCTTGTTTTATATTGAGGGCATAGGAAAAGAATCCATGAAAGTTACATATAAAACGTGTGTTACTTTACATCTGCCACTAATAAGCAAGTTTATATTATAGTAAGACTCACAGGGGATATTCCCAAGTTAACAAAAAATAAGACACTGCACTTTCTACTGTAAAATGACCACTACAGCAGCAACTACTGCCACTGTTACTCTCTGTTACGATTGACACTCACAGGCCCAAATGGACAATCAGTTCCTGCCCAAGTTAAAGACACGGGCTCGCAGACATTCCAAGTTGAGTTCTCACCTCGGGTAGCTGGTGAGCACCGTATTGCAGTGGCTTACCGCAAGGTTGCCATAGCTGGGTCACCCTTCTCCTGTAAGGTGTATGATGTGAAAGCAATCAAAGTCAAGGACGTTGCTGAAGGCATTGTGGCCAAACCAATTACATTCATTGGTAAGTAGAAATGAACCATTTTTTTCCAGGCAGTGTCTTACATTTGAATGAACACCATTAGACAGTCTTTATGAGCACAGATGAAGGTGGCCATATTTAATTTTATGCAGTTGCCTTATACAGAGAATAAGAGTGTTAATGTGGGTAAATGTATTCATTAGAAGATTTATATATTATTGTCACCAATGTTAAACCTGTATTCAGAAATTAAAACAACTAGGTAAACTCAAAAATTCTTACCATAAAATTATTTTGTAGTAATGAACTTATTTGAAACTGTAATTAATTTACAGTGTTAATTCATGTATTATATTAGGTCTGCCATTTTTATTTATGCTGATACTTGAAGTTTGTACAGTTGAGAATTACCCTTTAAAGCACAATAGATCACTGTAGGTCGTGGTGCAAGGACCAAGAAGGCCCACCCCTTATAAATTCATTCATTCATACTATCATGAAAAAAAATGGAATTGTCAGTTCACACTCTTACACATGCTAGTTTGTGTGTGCAATATACAAAGAATTTCTTATTTCCAGAAATCTTCAGATCTTGATTAGAAACTTTCAATATTTGTTATTAATGAGTTTATCTTTATGCTGGTTATTCCTTACAGTCGAAACAAGTCAAGCAGGCCCAGGTAATCTAGAAGTGACTGTAAATGGTGGACGAGTGCCTACATCAGCACAAGCGCAGGGCCCACACACATATGCCATTTCATTCACCCCAAGGGAAGCCATTGCACATACTGTAGACCTGCGCTTCAATGGTGAAGATGTTCCAGGTACAGTATTTGTTAGTAAAGCTGAAGGTGATAATGGAGCATTTTAAACTTTGGAATGAGATGAACATGTTTCATATGCTGCTTTTCAACAAAGTTGGTAATGCTCTGCAAGTAATCAATATACTTTGAGAATTCAGACAGATATTTACACTTTTCCTGAAGAGATATACTTAAAATATAATAATGTGTGTTCAATTTATTCACATAACAGAACTGTTACAGTTTGTGTTGTGCATGAAATTGCTTATTTGGATAATAATTTCTGTTTTAATCTTTGTACTTATTCCAGTTACAGCTGTCAGAATTTGTAATGTAAGTGTTCCTTGCTCATAAGATTGTTCAGATTATCCACTGCATTGTTGACAAAATTTAGTCTGATAATGAATCACTGGTGATTGAGAACATTTTTGCTGTGGAAAATGTAATTTTTGTATGACAATTGATATTTATGTTTTGTTGACAAAACAGAATATTAAATTATTATCCATATCAGCAGTGTAGACATGTGCTACACATTTTCAAGCTTGTACTTGTTAAAGTGTCAGTCTTCTGGTTGTTGTGATAGTCTTGTAATTTAAAATCTATACAATGCCAGAAGTGAACAGTGTCATAGAAGTAGTCGCATTCAGCATTGGGTTACAGAATTTTCGTGTATGACACCAATTGAAATAATTCTTTTTACCAGTTCTGCTTATTTCAGCATTTGAATCAGTACTATTTATTATGAGGATCATTCTGAAAGTAATACACTGTGCATACATGGACAGTAGAATAATGGAGATGTTCTTATTTTGATATTAGACAGGAGCCATTTTTGCAAGTAGCAGTATTTGTGTTTTTTCTTTCTTTTTGCTGTATTGTTGCTGTGTAAATAAGTTCAGAAATAGAAGATGAAAATGTCTCCAGTCAGATATCATATAGTGCCTAGTGTTCTTCAAACTTTCTGCAGTAAATTCCATTCACAACAAATTACAAACAGTTTGTGGAGACAGTACAGTGGGCCACAGCACAATATGTTTTACCCTCACACTTTCATGTCTGCCCAATACACCGTACATACTATCTAAACTGTAAACATTAACAAAGAACACCTGTGGTTATGGTCAGTTGCCTTTGGGGAGAAGACTGCTGCATGGCATGTGCAGGAATTTTTCATGAGAAAGACTCTTTTGCCAGCCTCCATTTTTACCCTAGAATTTACACCAACATTTCTTGACATGTTTATGGCTAGCATTCTTACCCTGAATGACAGTGAGATGCCTCAAGCCAGTCACTACAGGTAATCTTTTAGGAATGGTTCCCCACATCCCCTACTGTCCTCACATGGGTCTGTGAGACTGATCTGCTTTGTACATGAGAAATGTTTTAGGAGCGTTTAAGAGGTGTGTGCAGAAGTTGCTTGAACTATCCTACAAATTAGTAATGAGGCCCTTCTGACAGGTTTAGGAGCCTTACTGATGTGTTTGGAGTGTATCGTGAGGCAGAACTGTGACTACACCAAAGGACTGAAATTTTATTTTATTAAAGAAAGTTGTATTCTTGGATTAAAAGTCTAGTGTGCATTACTTTTGAAATGATTTCTGCAAGATTACAATCTTCTGGAATGTGGTGCTGTGTAGTGTGATAGAATACCAACATTTTGAAGGAATGTGCTGCCTCCATTTTGAGCAGATTCCTCTTAAATATTTGTATATGTATCAAACTGCAGAAGATTGTACCATTTCAAAAGTAATGCATACTTCACTTTCAGTATGAAAATACAAATCCCAGAAGACTATATTCTTAATGACTAGTGAAAGCAGACTGAGAAGACTTAATGTGCGCTCTAGAGATTTGTAAAGTGTGTAGATCAGTGATAGTGTTGTAAATGCATGTAACTCCAAGTCGTGTGCAAGGAGTCAGTGAATCCAATCTCCAGTCAGGAACCCTGTCTGCAGTTACTCCTAAACTATGAAATCTAGTGTCAGAATGGTTGGATTGGAAACTGCACTGAATCTTTATATATTTATACAGAAGATGGCATGACTGCTAACTGAAATCAAGGCTGAAATAAGAATTGACTGAAATAAATGATGGCAGGGCTGGAAGCCAAGATCAAAGCTGAAATAAAAACCAATAATGAGAATTTGAGGTCCTTCAAAGTGTTCTCATCTCCTGGATGGATATTCATCGATCCAGGACAGAGGCCATTCAAGAAGAAATAACAACCAAGGTGGATACCCATCAGGAAAGGTTGAGAGCCAGTGTGATTGCCTGGTGAAAAGAGATGATGGCCTGCCAAGAAGCAATGGAGGCCTGTCTAGGAAAGACAGAAGCTGGCAAGTCCAGAAGAAATAGAGTCCAAGGCAGAGCATGAGGAGATCCCTAAGAAAGAGACTACAGTGAAAACTTTTGGAGCATTGAAGGAGCACTATGAGGACTCGCATCTAGCTGTAAGGCATCAAGGTCAGCCAAAGAAATTGACCCAGAACAATGGTGGGTCCCAGAGGAAGTTGGCCACTGGCTGCAGAGGAATGATCAGCCATGCAAGAGTGGCATGGTGCAAGGGACACAGGGAACCTGGAAAGGATGGATGTTAATGAAGAAGCACTGAGCACAACTGGAATGCAACAATGGCATAAGGAACTGAGACAAAGTACAATTTCTGGAAAGCAAGGGAAACATTAATGTGACCTTCATAAAGAACCTGGGACTGGAGATCACAAAGAGAATAGCTGAATCTTCTGTTAAGATTTGAAAAATGAGTGACTGGAATTTTTATATAAATAAAGTCTTCTAATCCCATGTTAAGCCTTCACAGGCCGACTTCTAGTTCTTCCGCTATGAACTTTCCGTGGCTATCTTCTTGCTTGCTTGTTTGCGTGCTTCTGCAGCTATTCTTCGTAACTTCTAATTGCCTTAATTATATAGCCAAGGAACGGACATACATCACAGGAAACACATGTCATATGACCACTACCCACCGCTGCATCACGTCACCGCGGACACAGAAAACACAACCTCCTATTGTTGCATGTGCATATTTTGGGTATAGCCTAGAGATTACGTCCTTCTATTGTTGCATGTTGGAACATGTTTATGGAGCTGTCATCTGGCAATGGGTATTCACGTTACAATATTTTACGTAAATTCTGCATTGCAAGAATGGCTTTACACAAAAGTCAGAATGATACATACATATAAACCTTAATGATTTACAGCATTTGCTCATGTAACTTTCCTCTTTTATTTTTACATAACTGGATAGCAGAATATGATCTTGGGTGAAAATACACAATTTTTAAGTGTAAAATTTGTTTTGCGTAAAAAGAACTAGAGTAGATCTGTGTAAGAAATGCTTGACTATCATCTTAATTATTTAATTAATAATATACTCTCTTCTGATGTAGGAAGTCCTTTCACATGTCAGGTATCAGAGGCTGCTCGAGTTGTGATCTCAGGTGATGGGCTGGAGAAAGTTGCAGTAAACAGGGCAGCTATGTTCTGTGTGGAAGCAGATCCTTCCCTTGGCCGACCTGATGTTCAAGTTCTGAGTCCGTCTCGACGTCCACTGACTGTGGATGTAGGTGTTCAGACAGCGGGCGGATACATAGTGCACTTCACACCTACAGATGTTGGTTAGTGGATCCGCTTGTACTATGAATTGTACCTCCTCTAGCTTTCATCCTATGCATATAGTAGGTACTGTCCAGATGACTGGACTATCTTTCGTATGATGTCTCCATATTTCATTGTGATTAGCATGTGAGTTTAATAGCCAGAGCCTCCCAAGGTTCAGTCACAACTTTTGTCAAAATGTCTGCCGGGAAATTGATGACCAGTTATTTGAAAATGGAATATAATTACCTCCAGAAATGTGTATATAAAATATACCTGAGACAGTGCATAGTGCCCAATATAATTGTGGTATAATGAAGCAACCATTATCACAGATCTTTAGATAACGGTTATTTCCCATTTCTAATTTATATGTCATAGTAATATAGTAGTATTTTCACTGAATGTAGTTCAGCATGATATTCTGTTATACTTAGTAGTTAGTATCAAGATTTCAGTTCGGTATAAGCAATAAAGTATGACAATCATATGTATACTACATACTTCCCATTGTATGAGCTGATGGAAATACAAAATCCCACTAACATGTTATGTTATGAACTGACACTAGGGACTGCGGTAGCATACCACAGTACTATGGGAACTCAGTTCTAAGCTAGGTGAAACCAGTCTATATCCTTTTGGTTTTGCACTCTTTTTAATATTATCTTCCCATTTAAGTACAGGATTCTCAGCTGGTACCTTTCTTTGTTTTATAAGTAAAAACAATAAATTCAGTAATGGTGAAAAATAGAAGCTAAACTGTAAGTGGATAATCTGGAAACCAATGAAACTGCATAATGGTAACTGGAGTATGTTGTTTGGTCTGTTTACTGTATTAAATTATATGGTCAATAGAAGTTATGTCTGCAGTTGTGGTTAAAGTTTAAAAATATTATGTGCTTTCAGGTGATCACAGTGTGGAAGTGAAACTGGCTGGAGTTCATATTGAAGGCAGCCCATTCCTCATCAAGGCATATGATGCTGCTAAAGTCAAGGTCACAGATATTAATTCTGGAGTTGTTGGAAAACCAGTTTTCTTTAGCAGTAGGTATAAAATGTATTTCTCTTTATGTAAAGATTCCTAATGATTTATTGTTTTTCGCACTGGTTTACTACCACTGGACAAGGGTTACTTTAAACTGTTTGAAAGATATTTGTATCACTGATAAATAACTAGTAAAATTTGTAAGATTTGAGGCTTTCACGGCGGTGACTATGAAGAAAGCAGTCTTCTGGGATTTGGCACCGTGTATATGTGGTGTTAACCACTAGTAAAATTAACTAGTAAAATTACCTGTAGCTAATAATTAAGGGTTGACTGTAGCATGGGAACATTATGTGTGATATATGCTCTTTTAGCTTACTTCACTCAGTATTCATCTCTTAAGTATTGTGACATATAGACCCCTTCCTAGGCAACAGCTTTGTATATATGCAGCAATACTGAAGCTGTTGCTGGGTGGTGGCACATGAGCAACAATGGAAGTACTGTTGAAAGTGTTGTTTCCTGGGTGATCCACTCCGAGGCTATATCATTCAACTGACTGAGTTGAGTTCAGTTATTGCAGTGTAGTGGAGTGGAGCAAGTTGGTTGGTGAGTTAGTTAGAGGACTGCTGAAGTTCAGTCCTTGTGAGCTGTTTCTGTTAGAAGCTGGTAGCTGAGGCACAGGGACAGTTTGGGAATCCAGAGGAAGGGAAACATCTTTGTTTCAAGCTGTTACCAGAGAAAGACCAATGAAAACACAGCAGGCAGACTTAGGATGTGTTGTGGAGAATTGGTGTGTGTGTGTGTGTGTGTAAATAAGCAATAGCGCTATAGTTACTTGTTACTTTCTGCAAATATTCAGTAAATCCAATTACCAATTCAAACCCCACCTACAGTCACTCTAACATATATCAGTATACGTATGAGTATGCGTTCTGCCATAATCAAAATTGTTGAACTTTGATGTAAAATATTTTAAAAAAGACATTCAGAAATATGTAAGAAATATTTTTTTAACTTTATTTCTGGTAGAATTCTAATAGTTGTTTACCTGAAAGACTTATTATGCCTATTCCATTCTTTATATTCCAAGACTGACTAATGCAAGTATTTTGTGTGAACTCGAAGATGTTAACTGTCTTCTGAGTCAATATCCAAGAGGTATTCATATTCTTTGTGACATCACATCCTTATGGTTATGGGATCTGGACTGTGAAAAATTCAAAATTCAGTTTTCTTTCTTTGGGGGGGGGGGTTATTTAATGACACTTTCAGTATCAACATTGTTGAATTGCATAGTAGGATGACTGATGAATTGGAAAGAGTTCAGAAAAAGATGGTCATGGTGTAATTGAGGTATTATCCTGGCATTTGCTTTTGGGACTAAGTAAAACCACAAGGAGCTTCACTCAAGATAGCTGCTGTCCTGGCTGATATTTGAACTAAGAACCTATCAGATATGGATGTAGAGCTTTACTTCAATGAGCCTATCTGGTAAAATGTGATAAAGTTTCATGCTGAATGAAATTTAGAATGAATAACTCAGATCATTAATATTTATTATTTATATGTAGACTCCTCCCACAGAAATGTATTTTTTGTGTTGACTACACAGTTCTATTGGAGATACAGTCAGTGTTATAAGTACTGCACTTTCAATGTAAGACACAGACAACATGCATCAAATAAATTGCCCATATAGTTTAACAGTTCTCATGCATGTGTAATAATGGTTACATAACTCACTATGTACATTTAATTTCTTCTAATGTCCTGTACTGAAGTGAAGGGAAATATAGCAGGATCTTCTTATGTGCATATTTCTTGAAGCAAGTTAATTTTCTAGTGGACTAGGATAAATTTATGTAATTGCTTTAAGTTTTATTCTTTTTAATTATGGGGGAAGGATGTGAATACCCAGTTAACCTTCGATGTGCACCGATCGGTATGCTGATGAGTATGGTCGTCATAGTGAAAGTACCCCGATTTGTGCATTTGGGCATTTAAATGCCGCTAGTGGAAGCCCGCACACATGCCACTAGTAGAAATGTATGCACAATCCTAAATATTTGGTTTTTAATATAGTTAAATTCAATATACATACTTTTTTTTTGTTCTTATCTGCTTGACGTATATACAAGTTTCAACCCCCGCATTATGTAACTGAATCTCGCCTTTGTGTAAAACTCAATGAAACACCTGAGAAAGCACAGTCCCGTGTCACATATCTTGCATTTCAACTGCTTTTCAATTTCATATTTTAAACAACGTTTCATTGCCATTGTGTGATAAAATGAAAGTACGATGGGACAACACTAAAGAGTCCTGTTCATCAAATGATGGAACCACAAGGTGGTAGACATTTAACTTCCTTTAAAGAGAGGCAATATAAGGGACACGAACCAAATTGGTTTATATTCATGGCACTGTAATGATATTGACCAATCACATTGTAATAGTAGTTTCTGCCTGTATTGATATATCCTTCTGAAGATGATCTCTAAGACTGAAACATGTCAAGAATGAAAGAGTAAAAAAGGGAATAAAGAAAAAACATTTTATCAGTCACACTAGACAGAGTTGATTAACCTTTTGTACTGGCTGCGCCATAGCTTAAGTGGTTAGTCGCTGGCTTCCCACCACAGCGGCCCAGGTTCGATCCCGAGTCTGGTCAAGTGGGATTTGTGGTGGACAAAGTGGCACTGGGGCCAGTTTTCTGCGAGTACTTCGGTTTCCCCTGCCAATCTTCATTCCACCAATTGCTCCACAATCACCCTCACCTATCATCTGGGGCTGGTACAATAGGCCAGAAGTGGCCGCAGTACAAGGGACTTAGTCCCACCCCACTAGCAATAAAAAAAAAACCTTTTGTATAATATTCAAATTCACAACGAACTCACAGAAAACTGAATGCACTCTGTATTTCAGCTGCAATGCAAGTGTTTGGTTGTAAGTATAGGAAGGGCAATATTCTCTTGAAGTTGCCATGACAGGGCTTGGCACTGAAGTAGGGAACAATGAATATTGCCACTAGTCTTTCTTCAAAGGCCATGCATTCACTTTTCTGTCCATTAGTCAAAAGACTGGAATATCTGAAGTGTATAACAAAGATGTGAAAATTGCCAGCAGACAACAAAATGGCTTTATTACTTCCATCTCTTTTATGGCACCAGAGAATGTGAAACTATTTCAAGTGTTACAAGCAGGAAATTTTATAACACAGAACTACTATGGGAAGAAGTGGGAAACTATTTTTACAGTATGCATCAAATATATAAGAACAAAATTAAAAATAGTTTATAACTTTTTTGTCTACATATGTATTTTCACATCCTACATTATAATATGCAACACTGTGTTCCTTGCTGTTAAAAACCAAGTTAATTCCATTCATTTATCATAAAAACTGTATTAGATACAGCATTTTCAAATACAGCTGCAAGTACCCTAACAGGAAGAGACATTTAAAGGCAGAGCAACAACGGATATTTAAATGTGCACCAGTAACAGGCATTCAAATAAACTCCAGCTAGCTCAAGCTACCACCATTTCAAAAGTCTGGCATTTAAAGGTTAAATACTGATTGGTTAATGGTCAGATATTATTGTGTTCTTTTCTTACAGTCAATGCCAGCCAGGCAGGTGCAGGGAATTTGGAGATCATTGTATCAGTGAGTGGTCATAATGTGCCAAATTATGTGCAGTCTGAAGGGAATGCAAAATTCCGGGTGAATTTCAAACCTCAAGAAGCAGCACCACATAGTCTGAGTGTTCGCTTTAATGGAGAACCTGTCCCAGGTATGTACCAGTTAACGTTTTCTTAATCCTTTTACTGCCAGATTATTACTCTCTGAGGTAAAATTGTGGTAGTTAAATGCATTGCTGTATTCCTCTTTATAAAATATATTTCCATTGTACATGAACTTCCTTTTTGTTTTTAGGTTCTCCATTCATGTGTAAAGTTCTTGATGCAAGTCAAATATTAGTATCTGGATCAGCTTTGAAAATGTCACCATTAGGACAAGCTGCAGTTGTTGTGGTAGATCCCCAGATGTCTGCAGGTGACCTTGGATCTTGTGATGTCACTGTGACTTCTCCATCAGGTCATTCCATTCCAGTCAGGTTAACTAAGAGTGACAAGTTTACAGCAGAGTTCATGCCATCTGAAGTGGGTGAGTTGGGGCTTAGAACTTACCAACTGAATACATACCAGATCAGTGGTATCCAAATAGAATTAAATAAGACACAATAAAGAAAATGTATGAGAATATATTCATAAGGATTTCACTAACAATGACACTGTTTTTAATATAATATATTATTTATGTTTATGCACATGAATAAAATAGATTATAGAAAATAAAAGGATTTATTCCAGTGGTAGACATGGTACAGTACAGTGGTAAGAGAAGCTTTTACTTCATTTTCTGTTAAACGTGTATACATACATACATATACATTTGCGTTTCTTTAAAATATTCATAAATGTGCCACCGGCACCAAATATAAAACATGTCAACAAGCAAACAAAACATTGGACACTTATACATTCACAAATAAAATCACTAGCATATATAATCCATACTTGTCAAAAACACATACAATAGTTAAAAGGCAATATTTTCTACTTGCACATCCATACTCAAATCATTCTAAATGGTCTGAGTGTGGTACATTACGCTTAGAATTACGGGGTTTCTGGACCATCATTTATGATTCTGAACACGACACTATGTTTCAGAAACCAGACCTGCTTCTGTCCTCTGGTGAAATTAAGTATTTGTGGTATTGAACATTTAGGTTTTATTACTAATTGTTCATCATACAGTTTTACTATGAATTACTGAAGGAATGAACACATGTCTGATGTTATGTGCTTTCATAATATTAGAGTGATGAGGTTCTTTCATGCATTCCTGTGTTTCTTCAGGTCGACACAGTGTTGCCGTTATACTGGATGGTGAACCAGTTAAAGGCAGTCCATTTGCGTGCAACATTTATGACGTCAGTAAAGTCAAAATCACAGGACTTGGTCCTTCTAAGGTATGACATTCACATAGTCGAAAGCAGATTTCTGCTTAAATAAGAAGTGCTTCTAGCAAGTAGTATACACTGTGAGAATGAGTGTATATGCTTTCATACATATATGCACTGGCCAAGCTACAGTAGTAACATGTCCGCCTTGTATTCAGGGATTGATTGGTCTGAATCCCAGTTGTGACACTGGCTGGCCTCAGTGAGGTTTTTTATGATTTTCTTTGATCCCTCCAGGAAGATACTGAGATAACACTGCAAAATAGGTCACAACTGCTTTCCTTGAAATCCTCTCCAATTTGTTATTCATTGATATCGAACAAACTGACACTAAATAGCCTGAGCCACTGGTTCCCAGCCTTTGAAGTATGATATCTTCTTAACTTGAAAACGTTTTGTAGACTCCCACATGTTGATGCTGTACTTTTAGGCTCTGTTAACTGAGAACATACATAATGATAAAAAGCTATTATGAACTCGACAGCCATTTTAAGTGAATTCACATTTTATTCATCACAGCAACAAATACACAGATTTCAGAAATAGAATATGTGTGACATACATTAGCTATTTAGTCAAGTACAGAAGGTATATTTGCATGCATATAGTGGGTCATTTAATGAGAAGGCTGGTGCTGTTTTGGAGCTGTCAGCCATTCAGTGTCTGAGTAGAAGCAATGATAGTTCCATATCCAACTTGTTTCAGTACTTTGATTCCATTGTGACGAGTGCAGGAAGTCCATTTTCACAAATATATGTTGTGGGAAACGGCAGCAAGTACTTCACCACTTTATCATAAGTTCTGGGTACCCAGAATTAATGTGCTGCCAAAACTTAGCCAGGTGCTTCCGTGCGAAGACAAGCTTTAAAGAGCTGTCACATGAAAGTCCTGTTGGGCTTTCCTGTTCTTCTGATGTCAGATCTGTGACTGGGACATGTTCAGCACTCACAGAGGGGTTTCCAGAACTGTTTTATCTTGACTCAGGCATCTGTACTTGAAGGATCTGCACGTGTTCATTTATGTAACATTTTAGTTTGCCTGAAAGCCGCATTTCTCATTAAAAAATCTGAAAGACAAGAAAATGATTCATAGTTACATTGATTAAATTGATAAGACCACTGATCTAATTTCTTGATCTCTCTTACTTTATATTAAACTATATAATTTGACAGCAATGTAACATTCATTTCCTTCCAGGCTCTCTCTCCCAGCATTATACTCACCATTCCCGTTGCTACTGATAACATTAACCATTCTCTGATGGTGCGCAGCCTTCCTGGCTTTGATACTAGAAAGCTGCTTAATGCAAAGCTTCAACTGCCTTCAATTTTTTTTTAATTCGCTTAGTGGGGGTTCGAGTCCAGCTGCTTCCACTGGGCAAGGCGGCCACTGATTGGCCTATTGTACCTGCCCCGGGTGATTATGATGATGGAAAATTTGGTGGAATGAAGATTGGCAGGGGAAACCGAAGTACTCAGAGAAAACCGG